AAGTGGAAACTTTCCTGCCCGTTAATTTAAAATTTGTATCTTTATAAAGAAATACAATTTGTGTTTTAGAGATCCACAACCATAGCTGCTTAAGATATGGTTTGTTACAGTTGAATCCAAAAACCTACCACCTATTGTTCATACTGTAGTGAAAGAGCAGTCTCAGCAACAGCAGTGAGAGCTTTGTGAGCTTCGCTTTTATCCAAGTGTGTGTGTGTGTGTGTGGCCAGTGAGCCAGCAGGGAGGAGGGTTTGTATCTGCACCATCTGGGTCGTCTCCACTCGCTTCCTGTATGTCCACTTTGAGAAGGTACAGGAAGTACTCTGAGATTTGCAGGTAGTCTACGTCATTCAGACGAGCCTGTAGGACTATCATGTAATTTAACATTTTTGCCCAGCAGAATTTCCATGATGTTTATCAGTCATTGCACCACTCTCATTTCCGTTAGACCCTCTCTTGCTTCTTTGTTTTGGATACTTGTCGTGATTTCTTGAAGTTGTTAACTTTATAGCTCTGATTCATTGATTTATTCAGGAACGGCATTTATTCAGAATTAGTTTATTGAGCTGTATCATCCTCCTGATCAGACGTTTACTATGCGTAAAGCTGTATCTCCTCCTGTCTTCTCCTCTCTGCCTCTTGCACATTCAGCACTTAAGTGGCTTTCCAGTAAGCTAATGATGAAGCAGGGACCGCTGCAGCTTTTCCTTCCTAAATGAAGCTTATAGGTCACTGGAGGGGTCGAGGACAGGGAGTAGTGTTTGATGCTACCTTGGGATCTCAACAAGAAAGATGTGTCTGTTTGTCTGTTTTAGACCAAAAATGTACCTCCCAATATAAGAAACTACACTTTCTTTTTTCCTTTTTCAGAATGAGCAACTTTTACGGCAAATGTTACTATTTCGTTATCGGTTTGTGATTATATATCCTCAAATATTTCTTGAATCAGTCCATGGGTCAAATGTGAATCCCCCCCCCATTGATGCAATTCTGATCAGCTTGATGTTATAGGTTATATTTCAGCAGCACTGGCACTCTCATTTTTGAACTGTAAGCCTTTAGATTGATACTGTGCTTGGCCTCCTTCCCAAAGCAGACAATTAATGGAGATTTAAAAAAAAAGACTAATGTCTAATTAGTGCAGTCATCTACTGATATGGTTATGCCTGATGCACGCAGTAGAGCATGACTGCAAAGTGTCTGCATCCATCTGGTTGCTCGACCACCCACATGGAGAGCTTGACATGAATGATGTTTTGTCTGAGGACAGTTTGGTTTCCCTGCACGATCACCTTGATATACCACTGCAGTATTAATTTTCTTCTACAGACTCAATAAACTTAAAATAAACCACAAGAACTTTTAATATGGAAGGAAAACTAAGAATGTGTGAAACCACCATCATTTCTAGTTGCAGATCTAGTTGCAGGGCAGCTCAAGAGTTGGCAGTTTGTCTTGTAATCGGAAGGTTGCCGGGTCGAGCCCCGGCTCGGACAGTCTCGGTCATTGTGTCCTAGGGCAAGACACTTCACCCATTGCCTACTGGTGGTGGTCAGAGGGCCCGGTGGCGTCAGTGTCCGGCAGCCTCGCCTCTGTCAGTGCGCCCCAGGGCAGCTGTGGCTACAATGTAGCTTGCCATCACCAGTGTGTGAATGTGTGTGTGAATGGGTGGATGACTGAATGTAGTGTAAAGCGCTTTGGGGTCCATAGGGACTAAGTAAAGCGCTATACAAATACAGGCCATTTACCATTTTACCATTTACAGATATAGAATTTGGCAAAACCAAAAACTTGGCCAGCTCTCTGATTAAATAAGTGTAATGTAGTATAATAATCAAACGCTCAAATTTACTCAAAACATAACAATTAAAAAGTGAGCGAGCTAAAGAAATGACTCATGTTTTCCCAGCAGCAGGAAAGCAGCATTTATTTATGTGTTGCCTTTCACAGAAAGAAGAGTTTTGCAGAAAGCAATTAAATTTTTTTAATTAATTAAAATAAAAGCAGAATGAAATATACCATGCAAAACTTACTTTAAACTTATTCAGAAGCAAACATGTAACAGGGTTAAGAGTAGCAGAATTAAAAGACCAAAGTATATATTTCATAAAAGCTTGTGTGGCACAAAGCATGTTACAGAAAGGTATATCTTGAACTGACTTTTGGCTGCAGGTGATTTCCTTCTCAGACAACAGAAATCTGCGTGCTGCCTTTGAGCCGTTTAAATAGTGACTCATTCTTATAATTTGGCGACTGTGGTCGAAAGCTTAGACCAGCCAGTTTTTGGTTAGTTTTTTTTTTTTTCTTACCAGGTGTATCTGCCTCGTCTTCCCCAGTTGTCTTTTTCTCCCTTCTTAGAAGGGTTTGGAATTAAATGCTGCTTCCAAATTGTCTCTCAGACTTGATGGTTTCCAACCTCATCAACTCCTTTTATCACTGCTGGCATGGCAATACTGGCAGATGAGTTAATAACGTCAAACCTTTGCACACCTGAGTCACACATAATCTTTTCTACATTGTGGTCAGACTTGGATAATCATACAGTTGCACTGACAGAAATCTTGAATATGAAAGCAAACAATGTTGTAAGAAATGTGGCGTCACTGTTTTCAAATTTCCTTCTGGCTGAAATAGCAACATCTTTTAGATGCAGTTGATTGAAGATTTAGAAATGGCATTTGTGTCAGTCATAGACTGCAAAAAAAAAAATGGATGGTGTTTGTTGGAGTAGTTAACACTAGGAAGCTTGGTTACCAGCCTATATTCATGAACTGTATGGGTGTGATGTAAAGACACACTACCTTCTATCTAATAATACTAAAAAAACAAACATAAAAACAGTCTGGCACAGCATTTAAATTTAAATTATCACAACTGAAAGACAAACATCTTGGATGGCCTTTATCACACAGTCGCTATATTAATCACACAATTCCATTAAAAATGCTCTAAACTGCAACAGATAAATATGGCAGAGAGGTCCAAATCAGTGACGTCAATAAATGAAGGTCGTGTGTGCAGAACTGTCATTTAGGTGTCCGCACTTCTAAGTTTAAAATCTCAACACAAAGGAAGGTTAAAAAAGAGTAACTATTTTCAAAAGGATTGTCCTGTTATAGATTTTATGAAGCAGGGAGCTATCCACAGGGGCTAACATAGTCTGTAAACACACTTTAATGCTGTAAAGTTGGACATTTTACCGTGCAAAATTATGGGGGTTGACTTGGTTTTGAACCAAGCCTTCGGGGGCTGTTGGAGGAACTGCAGTTTTTGGCACTTCCACAGTTTTATTTTGCGTGCTGTGTTTCAGTATGTTGACTACCACCTTTGACTTCGAGGTGAACTTGCACCTGTTGCCCTAGTATGTTGAACCCTGCTTTTGCTCCCCACCCTCTGTTTACGGTCTCCACGGCTGTCTGGAACCCAGCAGAAATACTTTGAACTAATTTTTACTATTGCAACTTAGGAAATATTGATGTTAGTCGCATTTCCTAGAACACCGAGTAATATCATTAAAAATGTAAGGACAAAAGATTCAGTTTCTGTGTATGGTGGTATAAAACGAAGAGAATCCTCTCACGGAAGAAGCGTGACATGTTTGCTTAAAAGTGCTTTGTTTCGTTTTCTGTGTATAGTTCATATTTTTCACCTACTTTCGAATGCTGCATTTCTTGGATGTTGCTTTTCTAGTTATCATGTGTAGTCTGCAAATCAGTAAAGAAACCTGTCATGTGGGAAATGTTTGCTGTCTGGCTCTCAAAGCACCAATAAAAAGAAGGTGAAAACTGTAAATGCCACGTAGTTTTTGTACTCTTCCTCACATAGACTGTCAAATCATTGTGATGGGACCGAGCTTCTAATTACTCCTAACATCTTTGTATGTGTGTAGTGTGGGTGGGTGTGGGGTTTTTTTTTTTTTTTTTTTTTTTTTCTTCTTTTTTTGTCTTTCTTCTCCAAATTCCTCGGTAATGAAACTGATAATGCTTCCTGCTGTGCTTCCGTGTTGTGATTCGCAGCCTTCTCTTTAAATAATTCTTTTCACTCTGTCTTATCTCGTTACGAGTAGCAGTGCTGGCAGGGGTCCCAGAGAGATGACGGGCCCTGCAGGCAAGAGCAGGACTAAGGAAGGGAGTTTAGGGCAAAGGGAGGTGTGATTTGGGTGAAAGGAAGAAAGCCAGACGTTCGGTTTCCCTTAAATCATGTGATCAGCAGTGAGCAGTGTGAGCCTGTCTGTCGCACACAACTGCCTGAGCAGGTTACTAAACACAGGCCTTGCCTTTTCTGTGTGGATTTTACACATTCCCCCTTTTATCTCTTCTAACATCTCAGTGATGTCTTGATTTATTATGTCTTTCTTAAGCTTTAAAGAAAGTGATCACATACTCTGGTTTCACTGCAAACAATTATTAAACCCTCGAGTGTTATAGATTTTCTTTTGTGCTATGTTGTTGTAGTTTTTGTTTAACCTCTTGTTCTTCACACAGCTGAAGGTGAAGGGAATTACTATTAAACGTATTTTGTGCTGTGCTGCCAAATAGTTGTTTCAGTCCTCACTCTTGTGCTCCAGCTGCCCCCCAGCCTGAAGTAGCACAGAAATCCATTTCAGATTTTCCCTTTAACTCTTGCAAAATGGTGAAGGTACATAGTGTACTCTCAGAGATGGGGCATTTTAGGCAGGGTTTGTGTGGTTGGAGGGGGGGGGGGATCCTTGAAATTAAGCTACAGGACATGGGGTCTGAGGGAAGCCCTCTGATGATCTGAATGTATTACATTAAATTAAACAACTGCAGAACATTTTTCAGTGGATTTGTGTTTTTTTTGTTTTTTTTAACTCCTAAACATAACAGATCAGTTCTCTTTGCATGCTTTAATCAGCCATATTTAGACTCAGCAACACCTCTTCTAAAATATGACAGGAATCTTACCTGTCTGTGACTTAGCAGGATGCCAGTTTTTATCTTCTGTTGCTTGAAGAACTTCCCTTAACATCCTCTTTCCAGAATCCCACGGGTTCAGCCATCACTGGACGAACGAATCTTCCCTACACAGCCTGGAGTCGCTGCAGTCTACAGCGTGAGTCACTGCATGCAGCCCCTCTTTTCAGACACTATTACATTCATATCCACCTGTATATACTGTATGCTGCAGTGCATATGCAGGAAGGTTACACTTTAAGTAAAAACACACACTGAAGACTCAGATTTGTTGTACTGACTTTATGCTTTTGCACACACTTTTATTATGGTCACATAAGTCACACAAATGATTGCTTATTTTAATTTGGTTACTGAATTTAATGCGGTTGCGTACAACCATTCATTCATGAAGGTAAAACCTGAAAACATATAATAATATTTTTGTAATTTGTTATGTATTATGTCATTGTAATTTTGTGGTGTGGTGGTTAACACATGGAGGAGACGCAAAACCCGGCCTCAAAGCTCACAAGCTGCTATACTACTAGGATTGTGCCAAATTAACATGTGGATGCCTCTGCTGTTGTGACTGCTTGGGAAATAAAGGAACAGCTGAAAATACCATTATGTATCATAGTTGATAAGAGAAAATAATCATTCCATTCTGCTGATGTCAGTATGTTTTCATAAAAAATATTCTGTATTTGTTATTTATTGCCAAATTTTGGTGCCTTTAACCAGTGAGCTAGAAGAAGCAAACTGATGGCTGACCTCCTGGCCCCTCTGTGTGTTTTTACCAAAATGCTGTTTTCCTAGGATTAGACACCAACATTGGTATGGGTTGTTGGGAGTTTAAATCTGAAGCTTTACAGTTAACCCTGAAAACTCGTAAAATGTTCCAGGTATGTATTACAGGAAAAGAAAGAAGTCCTGCTGACTCAGCACTCCTCTTTGCCTGTGAAATTAAAGTGAAAGTATTTAATATGTGTGGTAGCAAAAAAGGGGGAAAAAAGATACTTAAAATTAAGGATGGACAGATCCAGAATTTTCCAGTTGCTGTACAATGTTGTTATTATGGAATCAGCTCAATACCAGTTGTTATTCACAGCCCAGTACCGCATTATTCAAGTTATTTGTACTAGTTGGAGTTTTTTCAGCTCGGTGTAAGAGCAGTAGGCTGCTTCATACTCCTGTCTTACAGTTGTACTCGTTTTTCCTCTTCCTGATCTCACTCTGTTTCACTTTGAGTGCAGAATGGAGCTGAATTCCTGTCGAACTGACAAGAACATGTCATAATAAAAACTTTCCAAAATGGACATAACATGAATGAGAGTCAGTAAGACAGACAGAGATAGCATTCCTCTCCTTGTTGTGTGAGCTTTGCAGTCATGTCCACTTACACGGCCTCAGTTTGCAGTTAAGTACAAAAGTGGAAAGGTTTTGTAAACACATGAAGAAAATCTGTTGCTGCTGCAGGCGTGAAGTACCTCCACACTGCTGCCTTTTGCTGTTAGCATCCTCATACTATTTATCTCCCAGCTTTATGTGGCACAGTGAACAATTTAAAGTTAAATTGAGTAGATTGGCTTGTTGTTACCAAAAGCTGTTCAGTAGGTTAATTTACCTGTCAGTTTGTCATTTTATAATGATGGTGCTACAACATCGCACAATATTATTTGTAGCAATAACAAAGAGAAGGCTTTATGCTGAAACGCAGCAGCAATTTTGTCAGCATGGTGACTGTAAACACTTTCTAACCAGAAATCTTTTTTACTTGTTTCGATGTTAAGAGTGCCAAAGACTATAATGGTGGAGATCCTGTTTGCTGTCAGTCCAGTGTTTGACATTAGGATTGTTTGGAACTGGGCAATAATAATACAAACTGTGCAAACATGCATGTGTGCTTGTAATTTAAAAGAGCACATACGTGTAAGGAAATTCTTTTGTGATCAGATCACAGCAGGCCTGATCTGCAGATTGGTTCCCTCAGGGTACCTCTGCCATTTACTGACTCCTTCAGGTATTAATTAACATTTTCTTCATCATATTTTTGTCATGATAATATTTACATAATTTGTAGTATGTTTCTGTTGTCATATGCCTGGAGCATAAACATATGAGTTAGGAGGATTTGGTAGACAATTAGATTTGCCTGAACTTTAGAGGCTGCGTATTGCCTGGTAGTCCGTGACCAGCCACAGCTACTGTGCCTCTCTAAAGACAAAAATAAACCCAGCGTAGCAATCTTTGTGAGGCGAGCAGTTAGCAGAAAGAACAGAAACTGTTCAAGGCAAAACCACCCGTACCTGTTGTGACACACCTTGTGAATGAACAGAATAGGAATAGTTTTTTTTGGTTTTCAGCTTAGATAAGAATGATGATTTTCCAAGTCTCCCTTTTTGTTTTTCATTGTGTTTCTTTTTTCAAATTAATTTTTGTAAACTGTTAAACAGACACACAAATCACCAAAATACACCAACATCAGTGATAGAGTTGATGCATTAGGTATCTGAGATTTAAAAAAAATATATCATATTATCTTGCATCTAGCATTGTGGATTAAAAAGTTGTTAAAAGTCACTTATGTGGGTAGATTACTGGAGAATGTGGAGGAATCTAACTTTCATTCATATCAAGATATTGGATCTGTTGGTTCTTTCACAGAAAAACTAAATTTATTAATTTGTTTCACAGATTTCAGATTTTGGAGCTCTTTCTTTGAGTTCTCTTTTAATTTGGATGTTCTACAAACATGAAAGATGAACATGATCACAGTCTGAATGCCACAAGATTGTATGGCGTGCACTTGTGCGCTTAACATTACCAGTATTGCTCTTGCTGAGCCAGATGGAGGACTGGGTCAAAACTTGGCCTCTTGCACTTGACGGAGGTGTATTATATCATTATCAGCAGCAGAGTTGCCAGTGCTCTGACCAGGACTACCTGCCCTGCTGTCAACAACCTTTATTGTACTTACAGTACAATTTTATTTTACTTTCACCTGTCCACTCACCTCTTGCCCCCCTCGCCCACGTACTCAGTGAAACAGAGAGCAAACCCAGGAAGATTAGCGTGACCACAAATATCAGCAAAAAGCATTTTTGCTAGCCCTGCTCAATTCTACTAGAAATATAATCAATATGTGGCGAGCAGTGATTAGATTTGTTTGAGCGCTTTCTGAACTATTCAAGGCAAAACCAAACCACCTGTGCCTGTTGTGCAACACCTTGTAAATAAACAGAATAAAATGTTCCTTTTCCTTTTTTTTTTCTTCTTTTTTTGGGAAAATGCTTGAAAAATACTGCAGATCCAGGAGCAAGTGGTTCGCTTGCTGCAGGTTGCAGGGTTTTGAATGTTTTTCTATGTTGTCGCATGATCTAGTCACATGACTGTTATGTCAAAACCAATTAATCAGCCTGATATTGATTTAACAATTTATATAAAGATAACCATTATAAAATGTGATGCTTTTTTTTTCCTGTAATTAATTCAGCTAAATATTGATTTCTCACATAGACTCAGTTTATCATTGATTTTTACATCATGCACTCATGCAGTTTTTAACATTGGATTTTCTTGAATTGTAAATATAATTCAACAGAAAATGGATCAATAAAAAGTGATCTGAACCAAACTTTGGCACAGCCGGGCAGGGAGTGAATTTAGGATTTTTTGGGTGGGGCGGCTAAGTCTAATGGTACATGCGTTGAATGTAAAACTCAAGACAGTGTGTCATCAATTAGAGAATCACTGTAAAAAACAAATGTGGCACGATTATTCTTTCATCTCAATCTTGTTTTCATAAACTTTGAAAGCCGAAATGATCGCTGAAAATCAAATTTGATTAATCGCAACGCCCTCAAATAGATGTTAACTGATATTTAATGAAAGGAGGGCACATAAACAGGGTAAATAACAAAAAAGGGTT